AAAAAAAAAAAACTTATGAAAAAAGATACAAAATAGCCTTTATAGTTTCTCCGTTTAAATTTTTTGATTATCCAGAAAATTAATAATCAATATAAAATACCATTTAATGTGGTTTTCAATAAAAAGGAAAACTTAAAAAAAATGATACAATACTTACTACAGTGAAACCCGCTTAAGTAACCAACATTTTTGGGCACCGTNTCTCCGTTTAAATTTTTTGATTATCCAGAAAATTAATAATCAATATAAAATACCGTTTAATGTGGTTTTCAATAAAAAGGAAAACTTAAAAAAAATGATACATTACTTACTACAGTGAAACCCGCTTAAGTAACCAACATTTTTGGGCACCGTGAATATTTTAATGTAATCTGAAGAAAATCCCTCTCTTAAGTACCTCGCCGCTTATTTACCCAACCCTCCTAAGTATCTCAATTTTTCGTACCCCATTTACCATTTACCTATAATTTTCCTCTTTTAAGTGCTCTTTTAAAATTCCTTAAAATATTTACATATTTTGAATCTCAGGGGCAGCGTTACANAGATATTTTTCTTGAGAGATGCAAAATGATTTAAGAAATTTTGACAGTAGAAAATGTCTTTTCCATTTCTTGTACGTTATTTTATTAGGATTTTTCGTTTTTCTTGAGAGCTGCAAACAGCCCTTTATAAGGCATTTGTTAGGGAACAAACTGTGTTTTAATTGAAAAACCTTAAAAATTACTAAATAGTTATAAGTGGCGAACATCATTTTGAATTTGCTCCGAAATGCTAGATATGTCCACCACTGTATGTATTTATAAATATGTATAATCAATGACTTTAAAGAATTGAATTCTTATTAAATATAAACATTGCTTTATCGATTTCTTTATAAAGTTTTTGTTTATGTGTTTCAATAATTCTACAATCTTGGTTGTAAACTACGTATACTTCATTAAATGTTCATGTTTTATTCGAGGATTTATTAATTTAAGTTAACAAGAAGAAGTAACTACTTTAATATTTATGAGCGGTTAAGTACCCGTATCGACGTNCTCCATTTCTTGTACGTTATTTTATTAGGATTTTTCGTTTTTCTTGAGAGCTGCAAACAGCCCTTTATAAGGCATTTGTTAGGGAATAAACTGTGTTTTAATTGAAAAACCTTAAAAATTAGTAAATAGTTATAAGTGGTGAACATCATTTTGAATTTGGTCCAAAATGCTAGATATGTCCATCACTGTATGTATTTATAAATATGTATAGACAATGACTTTAAAGAATTGAATTCTTATAAAAATTACAACATTGCTTTATCGATTTTTTTATAAAGTTTTTGTTTATGTGTCTTTGAAGTCTTTGCGGATTATCTGTGTGAGCTTTCTTGAACACCGAAATCACTCATTCAAAGAAGTCCTATTGGCACATTTTTTTTTTTAATATATTCAAAAGGCACTTTTGTTTGGCGGATAGGCTCCTTAGGGTATCTTTCCACAGCTACCCTAGAAGGATTAGCGCACCGCACAGGAAGTCAAAATTGTATACCTTGCGGACTCCGTTGGTTGGCTGGGCTTANAATTTAAGTTAACAAGAAGAAGTAACTACTTTAATATTTATGAGCGGTTAAGTACCCGTATCGACGTACTTAAACGGGTTCTTTTAAGTAACTCAAAAAGGTGAAATTTTTCGTGAGGTACTTAAGCGGGTTTTACTGTAATTATAAATAAAACTAGGAGCATTTTGAGCCTCCTCTTCGGACCTTTTTCGAATCACGAAAGCACTGCGTCTATGTTATCTTCGGATGATTTAAGGAGTGCTCTTAAAAAATCCTAGACGCACGAAGTCTTTGCGGATTATCTGTGTGAGCTTTCTTGAACACCGAAATCACTCATTCAAAGAAGTCCTATTGGCACATTTTTTTTTTTAAATATATTCAAAAGGCACTTTTGTTTGGCGGATAGGCTCCTTAGGGTATCTTTCCACAGCTTCCCTAGAAGGATTAGCGCACCGCACAGGAAGTCAAAATTGTATACCTTGCGGACTCCGTTGGTTGGCTGGGCTTATTCGCCGATAAGACACACACAACACAGCTAACAAATACGTGTGCGTCAAAGTATATACATAGCGTACATATGTATTCAATACCACAGTGCCACACAACACAGAAAAGGTGACTCATAAAATACCCGTATGTTAAAGCGAAACGGATAGATTTGAAGCGAAAATCAATACTATCGCTAGTAGAATTTTCACGAATTTTCTGAACTGCACAGCTAGCGGGTATAAATAGGGCAGCGCTAGCCAGCACGCCAACATTTGTACTTTGGCCGTGCAGCAGAGTGTTTATAGAAAGAAATCTTGAAAAGTGTTAAAAGTTAAAGAAAGTGAATAAATTGTTTTTTTTTGCTTGGGTTCAGCGGTTTTCAAAGAAGAGAACAGTGTTTTTTGAGTATTGGTTGAAAAATGAAGTCTGCAAAAATGGTTAACGGAAGTTGGTGTTTTTGGAAGAAGTTGCAAGTCTTATTAGAGGAAGATGATCCCGGTTAGCTGAGATGGCGTTATTATACAATGAGTACATTGAGCATATATGGANGTGCCACACAAAGCAGAAAAGGCGACTCATAAAATACCCATATGTTAAAGCGAAACGGAAGATTTGAAGCGAAAATCAATACTATCGCTAGTAGAATTTTCACGAATTTTCTGAGCTGCACAGCTAGCAGGTATAAATAGGGCAGCGCTAGCCAGCACGCCAACATTTGTACTTTGGCCGTGCAGCAGAGTGTTTATAGAAAGAAATCTTGAAAAGTGTTAAAAGTTAAAGAAAGTGAATAAATTGTTTTTTTTTGCTTGGGTTCAGCGGTTTTCAAAGAAGAGAACAGTGTTTTTTGAGTATTGGTTGAAAAATGAAGTCTGCAAAAATGGTTAACGGAAGTTGGTGTTTTTGGAAGAAGTTGCAAGTCTTATTAGAGGAAGATGATCCCGGTTAGCTGAGATGGCGTTATTATACAATGAGTACATTGAGCATATATGGAAATAACATTACCTAAGAGAGGAGGCTAGGCAAAAAGACAACGCATGGAATTTTACTTCTGGTCTGCTGGCTTACCATAACTGGTACATATACATATCTGTCTGCCCGCAAAGATCTGACGTAATGCTGAGGAAAGTTTTTGCGTTGCTAGGATCTGTTTAGGCAGGATGACTGAGATGTACTCTTGACTGAGAGGAATCTATGGGCAGGCCAGGCAGGAATGTGTTGTTGAGTGAAGACATACAGGCAGGCAGGCAAGGCAAGCAGGCAAACACGTACAGCCGAAGGCAGAAAACTGCGTTGAGGATGGTGTGTGTGTGTGTGTTGGCCACAAATGGATGTGGAAAATGAGTAAGGTACACAAAAGTGTTCTGGCGTTAATTTTTTATATATACATATACATATGTAGATATGTAATATTTAGACAATTTTATATATTTAACGATTTATATTTTACGTACCTAAATACCTACATACCTATATAATTGATATATTAGATTTTTTTTTCTCCTAACGTCATATATGAGTCATACCTTTTTTCGTATCTAAAAACTGCGTCGTACATATCTGAACTGCCATTTGTTAACGCCGCGTTGCGAAATTGGAATTTTCCATACTAGGTGCGCACTTCTGTATCACAAGTATTTTTTTTTTCAGTCATATGTATACATAATGTATAGATACATAGTTATATACTTAGTACGAAAATTATGTATACGTGATTCTCTACCTGGTGACGAATTTTGTGTATACGCAAAAGTTTCCACACCACACAAGTCTACTTTCGTTTCACTCACTCCAAGCTATTATTTTAAATGCAGCTGCGTAGTTTATTGCTGTTATACATACTATATATTTAATATATACCTACACTCATACATATATGAATAGTTTCCTGTATACATACACATTTACGAAGATCTCTCCGACGAATGTTCTAGAATATTTTCTACGATACATATGAAGTAGCAGCTGCCTTTTTTTGTGATACAGTTCTTATTCAGGCATATAAATTGGATCAGTATGCACTAGAAAAATGCTAAAGAATCCATTCCCATTTCTTAGATTATTCTTTCTCCATTCTACTTGCGTATTTCTCCACAAAATTCGTATGTTTTTTTTTTTAATTAAGCAAGGACTTTCGATACCAACACTCCATTTTTAGGAATTTACGGAATGACATTTCATAGCAATTTTCTACAACATTAAGTTAAATATTTTTTTTATCAAGTTGACGTACCCATCCATATTAAATTTTTTTTCTAAAATATTCTACTCCACATTGATGTTCCATTAATTCTCTCTGCTAGTATATGGCATGATAAAACCATATTTTTTTTGCATATAACGCTACCATNATACTTAGTACGAAAATTATGTATACGTGATTCTACACCTGGTGACGAATTTTGTGTATACGCAAAAGTTTCCACACCACACAAGTCTACTTTCGTTTCACTCACTCCAAGCTATTATTTTAAATGCAGCTGCGTAGTTTATTGCTGTTATACATACTATATATTTAATATATACCTACACTCATACATATATGAATAGTTTCCTGTATACATACACATTTACGAAGATCTCTCCGACGAATGTTCTAGAATATTTTCTACGATACATATGAAGTAGCAGCTGCCTTTTTTTGCGATACAGTTCTTTTTCAGGCATATAAATTGATCAGTAGCAGCTGCCTTTTTTTGTGATACAGTTCTTATTCAGGCATATAAATTGATCAGTATGCACTAGAAAAATGCTAAAGAATCCATTCCCATTTCTTAGATTATTCTTTCTCCATTCTACTTGCGTATTTCTCCACAAAATTCGTATGTTTTTTTTTTT